GGGTGGGACTAGGGACTTTTGCATTATTCAACTTTCAAAACTTAAGGTATATACTTTAATAAAAATTCAAGGAAGCCAGGCCCGGTGGCCAAGCCTGTAGCTACTTGGGAGGCTGAGGTGGGAGGATTGCTTTGCTTGAGCCCAGGAATTTCAGTCTAGCCTGGACAACATGGTGAGACCCTGTGTGTCAAAAAAAAAAAAAAAAAAAAAAAAACCCTTCAGGGGAAAAAGGTCACTGGTGACTTAGAGAGAAGAGATTTAGTAGCAGGCTGGGTACATAAGCTAGAGAGCAGAGAGTTCAGGAGCGACAGGGACATGTGAAAAACAGACACCAAGTGTAATCTTTTTTTTTTTTTTTTTTGAGACAGAGTCTCGCTTTGTTGCCCAGGCTAGAGTGAGTGTCATGGCATCAGCCTAGCTCACAGCAACCTCAAACTCCTGGGCTTAAGCAATCCTTCTGCCTCAGCCTCCCAAGTAGCTGGGACTACAGGCATGTGCCATCATGCCCAGCTAATTTTATATATATATGTTAGTTTGGCCAATTAATTTCTTTCTATTTATAGTAGAGACGGGGTCTCGCTCTTGCCTCGGCTGGTTTCAAACTCCTGACCTCGAGCAGTCCTCCCACCTCGGCATCCCAGAGTGCTAGGATTACAGGTGTGAGCCACCTCGCCAAGCCCACCAAGTGTAATCTTGAAGCATTCTAGTAGGAATAGAAACACCTTGAGGAGGGAGGGATGTTTGATGGGAGGCTCTTTGAGGACAAAATCTCCTAGATCCTAGACCCCTGGAGCTTATCTCTCTAAACTCAAACACTTTAACTGTTGTTGTCACAGTAGTTGTAAAATGTAGCATCTTAATTTTCTTCCTAAAAAAGAGTTAATGGCCCGTGAGCCATCACTATGAATTGCAGAAATAGTTATGTGGTAATATACAGGGCAGTTCTGGAAAAAAAAATACAACCAACCTCTTCCTTCCCTGTGGAGAGATGCAGAGATGCTCATTCCTCGGATGGTAACTGGTATTTGACTCTTATAGAGAGGTGCCAGGAGCTAATCAAAAGTGCCTCCACCCTGCCCAGCCCACAGGTGCCACACCACATACGCAGTGCCTGTGTGGGCCTCAGCTTCCCCGTCTTGTAGTGCAGACCTGGCCAGTGTCTTGGCAAGAGCTTGCTTTGGAGGTTGGCCTTGGGCCAGCCACTTACCTGGCAGCACCTGGCTGAAGGCCGTAAATGGTGTGTGCATGGCCCCTCCTGCCCTGCCCTGCCATGCCATGTGCAGGGGGCAGTGTTCGGTGCCAGCAAATTGAGTCCAACACCTTGGTGCCTCCCATCGTAGATGCTTTCCCATGAAGTGGGATTCATAGAATTCCTCATTGTTTTTCAAAACTCTGCTCTAAGGCCAGGCACAGTGGCTACGCCTGTAATCCTAGCACTCCGGGAGGCCGAGGTGGGAGGATTGCTTGAGCTGAGGAGTTTGAGATCAGCCTGAGTAAGAGTGAGACCCCATCTCTACTGAAAATAGAAAATTGCCGGCATGGTGGTGCATGCCTGTAGTCCCAGCTACTCAGGAGGCTGAGGCAGGAGGATCTCTTAGCCCAGGATTTGAGGTTGCTGTGAGCTAGGCTGATGCCACAACACTCTACTCCTACTCTGAGCAACAGAGTGAGACTCTGTCTCCAAAAAAAATAAAAAAACCTCTGCTCTATATAGTTGTGTTTCTCTTTTCATCCCTAATATTACTTGTTTCTCTTTCTTTCTTGTTTTTCTTAAAACAGTATTAAAGTTTGTCTCTTCCTATTAGTCTGTTTAAAGAACTAGCTTCGAGTTTTATAGATCCTATTTTATCTTTGTTTTCTAATTTATTAATTTCTGTTCTTAACTTTGTTATGTCCCATCAACTCCTTCATTTGGAGTTATTCTATTGTTATTTTCTAACTTTGAGTTAGATGCCTGCTCATCCCATTCTCAATCTTATTCTATAATGTAAACATTTAAATCTATGATATCCCTCGAAGCACCATTTTAGCAGTATCTATACATTTGGATGTGTAGTGTTTTCAGTATCATTTAGTTCTAAGAATTTTCTAATATCAATCCTGATTCTTCTTTGGTCCTTAAGTTACTTAAAAATGTGTTTTGTTTTGTTTTTAATTTTCAAATGTATGAGGTTCACAGTGGCTGTAGGAATCATCAGAAAATGGTTAGACTCTTTGAATGCTGATTGTGCCTAATCCTGCTGGCATTTTGTATGTTACACAGAGTAGCCCTCTCCATTCCCTGACCAGGCTGAAAATATTCCTTGACTTTTTCTATTATAAGAAAGAAAATATTGAAAATCTTATAGTATGATCACACAAGCTGTGCCTTCGCAATGACACAGGATTGAACCAAGGTTCCCTTTCTATCTTATGGTCACAGGCTGTCCCAAATGCCTTTCTGGCCACCCCCAGCCCTGGTACCATGGTTTGTCTAGTTTAGTTGGCTTTGAATAGGTTTCTGGATGAAGACCATCCCAAAACACATAACTTAAATAATATAAAATGTTATTCCTCTCTCAGATAAAGTTTGGGTGGTCCTTCAGGGCTCAGATAGTGGCTTAACCCTGTGGGGGTCGGTCCCAGGCCCCTTCTTGTCTTGTTGTCCTACCATTCCTAGGATGTCACTCCTGTGGTCCCGGAGGAATTGGTTAGAAGGAAATATCAAAAAAGGCTCCTTCGGAGAGCAATACTAGAGAAAGAGAAACGCTGGTCTGGGCCACCGAGGGAAGCTTCAGGGCAGGGGTCTTCCAAGTGCCCTTTCAGCCCTACTCCCAGGCCTAGCCCTCCCCACCTGCCCAGACAGGCTGGAAGGAAGGGCTCCTGCTCATGCACTCAGAGGGCATCCCAGGCTTCGCAGGCAGGCCCAGGCCCCATGTTGGCCTACGGAGGGGAGAGGTCAAGAATGGCCCTGCCTGGGCCCTGTGCTGGCTCCTGACCCCAGAGTAAACAGGCAGGAACAATAATGGAGAGCCACCTAAGGGGCCTCCTAGGCTGGGTTGTGAAGACTAGTAGTATGTTAGCAGGTGAAGGGATGGGGGTGGGAGGGGGAGGGGTGCTGGGCAGGGCACTCCAGGCAAAGGAACAGTGGGAAACCTGGCCACGAGAGAGAGGACAGGGATGCCCCGGGATCTGCACGTGGTTGTGCCGAGCAGGGCCTCAGGGTGCAGGGTGGCAAAGGGTGGGTCATGAGCAGGCTACGTGGGGGCTGTGCAGGACCAAGGACTTCATCTTTCATCTTGCTCTCTTCCCAGGCCTTTGTGCTCCGAGGCTGGATGGACCTCACCTCAGACAAGCCCCACGTTATGAAGAAAGCCATCAGGTACCTAGAGCAAGGCATTCAGGACACCAAAGATGTGCTGGGGCTGATGGGAAAGGTGAGCAGTGGGGAGGGGAGAGACGGGAGCATCCCTGGCTGGGCCACTGGAGCCAGAGGTGCACCAGGTGACCTAGGCCAGACCCTCAGTCTCCAGGTGCCTCATCTTGTAGATGAAGAGCAGAGGCCCAGAGGGGGCCAGCAACCAGCCCAGGTCACACAGCAGCCCAGGGCCCAGTCTACTTCTCACACTCCTTCCTGCTTGCTCTGAGTGTCTGTCTCATTCTGCATGGGGAGCGCTTCTCAGGGCTGCCTTGTCAGTGTCTGTCCCGCCTTGGCTCTCTCAGGCTTTCTTCTTTGCCTCTTTCTGTTTTATTCATTGCTCTTCCTCCTCCCTGCCTCCTTCCTCCTTCCTTCTCCTCTCCTCTCCCTCTTCCTCCTCCTCCCTCTCCTCCTCCCTCTTCCTTCCTTTCCTTCCTTCCTTCCTTCCTTCCTTCCTTCCCTTCTCCTTCCTTCCTTCCTTCCTCCTTCCTTTCCTTCCTTCTTCTTCCTTCCTTCCTTCCTTCCTTCTTCCTCCATTCCACCTCTTTTCACCTGTTAAATTTGCTTAGTGGGCCATAAAAGAAGGAAGGTATATTTTATATGTTCTGTTTGTTCTGACCTTAAGTTTCCTTTTCTCTCATGACCCTCACGGAAACAATCTTTGAGAGAAAAATCACATTCTCATTCTCTTCTGTCTGTGTTGTTTTTCTTATAAATATGAATACCTACTTATTAAAAAACAGACGTCTAAAACAGTCAAAAGATGAATTACAATGACAGCCTCAGTCCTGCCACTCTACAACAACTCAGGCTAACATTTGAGGGCAGGGTCTTCCAGCCTTTTTGCCGTGCTTGGGTTCAGTGCGTGCCTTTGGTTGGCTTTCTGGGCGGCAGCAGCAGCAGCAATGGAGATTATTGTGAGGAGACTCGTCACGGAGCACGTTTGGGGCCCACACCTGTGGGGAGAGAAGGTGGGCTGTGGACAGTCACAGCGCAGGCCTCGGCCAACTGCACAGGGAACGCTGGGGCCGGGACTGCCCTTCAGTGAGTGCCCCTCAGTGCCGAAGCACTGGGTGTGGCTGCTCCAGGGAGGCGTGTGACCTGGTGTGAGGCAGCTCCCTTCAATCACGGTGACCTCAGGAGGGAGACGCCACTGAGCGTCATCAGCTGCCAACTTCTGGGCCTGAAGAAGGGTCACACACAGCAGTCACTAGAGGGTGGGAGATAGAGTTGTTGTGTAATACAGTTTTAACCCTAGGGCATATTGTCATTTAGTTTCTTTTTCTTTGTGCATATACTGTCATAAGGCAATGTCAGTTTGGGCATCTCCATAAAGCCAATCACTCTTGCATGGGCATAATATAATTTAACAACCCAATCCCTGTTATTTAGATATTGGGTTGTTTCCAGTTATTACTTTTAAAAGAGTGATGCATTGAACACATTTTACATAATCTCATTATTTAGAATAATCCTCTTGTTTTTATGGAGAAGTCTCTTAATAGAGTGTTATGCAGGTCTGACATAAGCCATCCTTTCAGAGTTTCAATTTCAAGTCTTTTTGGACAGCGCTTATGCTCTGGCCCTCAGGGCACCTGTGTCATGGCTCTCCCAGGAGAACCTGGTGCTGGTGCTGGCCTGCAGAAGCCATGACCCAGCCTAATAGGCCCTGACAGGAAACAACAACCTCCACAGTCTTGCTGTAGCAGGAGTTTGCCCACAAACCCTAACTGACGCAGAGTTGCCAAACTGGGTTCACTGAGCAGTTTTCAGTGATGAAATTCAGGAAAGTGAATGGCAAATGAATGAGCAATTTGTGGTATTGGAACATGCCCAGTGACCCCAGTTCATCCCCTTGGAGTGACCCTCGCATAACCTTGCTATATCCCAGACCTACTGAGTTTCCCAAGCTCAAGGCTCAGCTATCTCCTGGAGGCCCCTGGCCTGCCTGTCTAAGAGCCCAATTCTGTCATCAACCTTGATTTGTCGCTCTGAGTGACGACTCCTTCCTCCAGGATCTGTGAGGGGCTGCTCCTTGGCCTGATGGCTCCCTGGCCCAGCGAGCGGACCCGCAGCACCCACTGTCAGGTTCTGATCCTGTCTTGTAGAGACCCTGACACTGACGCCCCACCTCCCTTCATGGGCGCTGAGGGAGGCTCTTCTCTCTGCCTCCCGACAGGCAACGTACTTCATGATACAGCAGAACTACTCAGAGGCCCTGGAGGTGGTTAACCAGATCACTGTGGCCTCAGGGACCTTCCTGCCAGCCTTGGTCCTGAAGATGCGGCTGCTCTTGGCTCGGCAGGACTGGGAGCAGACGGTAGAAGCAGGACACAGGTGAGCCACAGCACAAATGTCCTGCTCCCTCCCTTTCCAAGCCAAGGGTGCCAATACCTAAACTACCATCTTACAAAATGGGGAGGTAGGGAAAAAGACATAAAGGCAAATATTGCCAATAGAGGAGTTATGAATAGTGTTACATTGGGAGGAGGAGGGAAGGGAGGATCGATGGAACACTAAGTACCCATCGTAAATGAGGCCAGGAGCTGTGGCCTACAATGGATAAATCAAGAAATAGAGGGATATGCTTGTTAGTACAGTGGTGAGTAAATATATATAAGTTAATTAATTAAAGAAAGAAATAGAGGGTAGGTGTATTGTGCAGAAGAGATATGCAGGGAACCTCAAAAGAACCCCAGCAATGGGAGTGACCAGGAGGAAAGCAGCTGCCTCTGAGCAGCAGCAAGAGAGTGAAGGGAGGTGGGACTAGGGACTTTTGCATTATTCAACTTTTCAAAACTTAAGGTATATACTTTAATAAAAACTTCCAAGGAAGCCAGGCCCGGTGGCCAAGCCTGTAGCTACTTGGGAGGCTGAGGTGGGAGGATTGCTTTGCTTGAGCCCAGGAATTTCAGTCTAGCCTGGACAACATGGTGAGACCCTGTGTGTCAAAAAAAAAAAAAAAAAAAAAAAACCCTTCAGGGGGAAAAAGGTCACTGGTGACTTAGAGAGAAGAGATTTAGTAGCAGGCTGGGTACATAAGCTAGAGAGCAGAGAGTTCAGGAGCGACAGGGACATGTGAAAAACAGACACCAAGTGTAATCTTTTTTTTTTTTTTTTTTTTTTTGAGACAGAGTCTCGCTTTGTTGCCCAGGCTAGAGTGAGTGTCATGGCATCAGCCTAGCTCACAGCAACCTCAAACTCCTGGGCTTAAGCAATCCTTCTGCCTCAGCCTCCCAAGTAGCTGGGACTACAGGCATGTGCCATCATGCCCAGCTAATTTTATATATATATGTTAGTTTGGCCAATTAATTTCTTTCTATTAGTTGGCCAATTAATTTCTTTCTATTTATAGTAGAGACGGGGTCTCGCTCTTGCTCAGGCTGGTTTCAAACTCCTGACCTCGAGCAGTCCTCCCACCTCGGCATCCCAGAGTGCTAGGATTACAGGTGTGAGCCACCTCGCCAAGCCCACCAAGTGTAATCTTGAAGCATTTCTAGTAGGAATAGAAACACCTTGAGGAGGGAGGGATGTTTGATGGGAGGCTCTTTGAGGACAAAATCTCCTAGATCCTAGACCCCTGGAGCTTATCTCTCTAAACTCAAACACTTTAACTGTTGTTGTCACAGTAGTTGTAAAATGTAGCATCTTAATTTTCTTCCTAAAAAGAGTTAATGGCCCGTGAGCCATCACTATGAATTGCAGAAATAGTTATGTGGTAATATACAGGGCAGTTCTGGAAAAAAAAAATACAAACCAACCTCTTCCTTCCCTGTGGAGAGATGCAGAGATGCTCATTCCTCGGATGGTAACTGGTATTTGACTCTTATAGAGAGGTGCCAGGAGCTAATCAAAAGTGCCTCCACCCTGCCCAGCCCACAGGTGCCACACCACATACGCAGTGCCTGTGTGGGCCCTCAGCTTCCCCGTCTTGTAGTGCAGACCTGGCCAGTGTCTTGGCAAGAGCTTGCTTTGGAGGCTTGGCCTTGGGCCAGCCACTTACCTGGCAGCACCTGGCTGAAGGCCGTAAATGGGTGTGTGCATGGCCCCTCCCTGCCCTGGCCCTGCCATGCCCACGTGCAGGGAGGCAGTGTTCGGTGCCAGCAAATTGAGTCCAACACCTTGGTGCCTTCCATCGTAGATGCTTTCCCATGAAGTGGGATTCATAGAATTCCCTCATTGTTTTTCAAAACTCTGCTCTAAGGCCAGGCACAGTGGCTTACGCCTGTAATCCTAGCACTCCGGGAGGCCGAGGTGGGAGGATTGCTTGAGCTCAGGAGTTTGAGATCAGCCTGAGTAAGAGTGAGACCCCATCTCTACTGAAAATAGAAAAATTAGCCGGGCATGGTGGTGCATGCCTGTAGTCCCAGCTACTCAGGAGGCTGAGGCAGGAGGATCTCTTAAGCCCAGGAGTTTGAGGTTGCTGTGAGCTAGGCTGATGCCACAACACTCTACTCCTACTCTGAGCAACAGAGTGAGACTCTGTCTCCAAAAAAAATAAAAAAACCTCTGCTCTATATAGTTGTGTTTCTCTTTTCATCCCTAATATTACTTGTTTCTCTTTCTTTCTTGTTTTTCTTAAACAGTATTAAAGTTTGTCTCTCCTATTAGTCTGTTTAAAGAACTAGCTTCGAGTTTTATAGATCCTATTTTATCTTTGTTTTCTAATTTATTAATTTCTGTTCTTAACTTTGTTATGTCCCATCAACTCCTTCATTTGGAGTTATTCTATTGTTATTTTCTAACTCTTGAGTTAGATGCCTGCTCATCCATTCTCAATCTTATTTTATAATGTAAACATTTAAATCTATGATATCCCTCGAAGCACCATTTTAGCAGTATCTATACATTTGGATGTGTAGTGTTTTCAGTATCATTTAGTTCTAAGAATTTTCTAATATCAATCCTGATTCTTCTTTGGTCCTTAAGTTACTTAAAAATGTGTTTTGTTTTGTTTTTAATTTTCAAATGTATGAGGTTCACAGTGCTGTAGGAATCATCAGAAATGGTTAGAACTCTTTGAATGCTGATTGTGCCTAATCCTGCTGGCATTTTGTATGTTAACCAGAGTAGCCCTCTCCATTCCCTGACCAGGCTGAAAAATATTCCTTGACTTTTTCTATTATAAGAAAGAAAATATTGAAAATCTTATAGTATGATCACAAGCTGTGCCTTCGCAATGACACAGGATTGAACCAAGGTTCCCTTTCTATCTTATGGTCACAGGCTGTCCCCAAATGCCTTTCTGGCCACCCCCTAGCCCATGGTACCATGGTTATGTCTAGTTAGTTGGCTTATGAATAGGTTTCTGTGATGAAGACATCCCAAAACACATAACTTAAATAATATAAAATGTTATTCCTCTCTCAGATAAAGTTTGGGTGGTACTTCAGGGCTCAGATGGTGGCTTAACCCTGTGGGGTCGGTCCCAGGCCCCTTCTGTCTTGTTGTCCTACCATTCCTAGGATGTCACTCCTGTGGTCCACATTCCAAACAGCAGGAAGGAGGAAAGAGCAGAAAGGGAAGGCATACTGTTAGAGCACAACTGAACATCACACTCATCACTTTCACTTATATCTTTTTGACCAGACCGTAGTCACATGGCCACACCTAAGCTGCACAGGGAGGCTGGGAAATGTAGTCCTAATTCTGGGCAGCCATGTGCCTAGCTAATTTTGGAATTCTGTTATTGAAAAGAAGAAGGAAAGAATGAATATTAGAAGGCTATCAGAAGTTGCCAATACACTATCCTAGCCTTGTCTATCAATACTCTCAATTCATGTGCCTCCTTTTCCTATTTCAGAATCCTAGAAAAAGATGAAAGCAATATTGATGCCTACCAAATTCTAGCTGTGCATGAGCTTACAAGAGAAGGGAACATGGCTGCAGTAAGTTTTTTCAAGACTCAGAAGTTGAGCCTTGAAATGGAGGCAAGGAGGAAGTCCTTGTAACCGTGGCCCCCACCCCCAACCCAAAGGCCTTGGCAGGTGCCCCCTGGATCTTGGTTTCCCTTTCCCCACCTACCCCCATATTCCCTACCAAGGAGGGCTGCTGTGGCTTGGCTTTTTGGGTGGCACAGCTTGAGAGTCAGGCAGCTTGGGCAGTAAGGTTGATGCTTGCTCTGCCACATGCTACCTGTGGGAGTCTGGGCAGATGTCTCCACCTGGATAAGCCTCAGGCTCCTCATCTGTAAAATGGACATAATTCCACACAGCTGTGAGGTTGTTATAAGGACTAAATGAGATGAGAATTGGAAAAGTTTGGAACAGTGCCTGGCATACTACAATAATTCAACCAATGTTAACTGACAGTAGAAGTCATAGTAGTGACTCAGAATTCAGGAAATGCCTGTTTTGTTTTGTTTTTTAGCGAATGGGTGGAATTACTTATCCATTGGCCAGGTAGTACCTGGCCCCAGACTTGTCCCTAAGCCTTGTAATTTTCCAAAGAAACCTAAAATTGCCCTCAAGTGCAGTCAGAAACACCTAGAATTCTTCATGAAACCTCAATGCCCAGAGAGGTTCCCATTTTCAAAAAGGCCAAACCATTGCCTTCTGCATAAACAAAACACATGGCCTTTGTGGAGAGTATGGCAAATCAAGAGTCTCTAAGGGGTCATGGTGGAAAGAGGAAGCTTCTGGTTCCTTCTGTGTAGCCATGAGACTGCGGGTTTGTGGTAGGGTGAGGTGAAGGGAATAGTCTGTATTTGGGTGGAATCCTTGAAAAGGGCCCAACACTGTCTCTGGATAGTAACAAGAAAACAAGCCGGTCTTCAGCTCCCTGTGCCCCTAGAGCCCTGGGCAGCACTTCCTGGGGCCTGGCCTGAGGGTTAATCCCAGGGGCAGAGTTAGCATTTAATGCCCCTCCTTCACCCCCACCTCAAACCCTGAGACCTATTCTCTGCCCCACCTGGCTGCCTAGTTCTAATCTTGCTCGTGCTTACTAACAGAGTGGACCCTCACCATCTAGGGTTGCTCTTTTGTCACTTTATAGCTGGAAGCTAAGAACTCCCTACTCCAATGGGAAAGAATCCAGGCTTTGGCATCAGTTAGTCACCTGGCTGCCTGGGTGACCTCAGACCAATTGCCTAACCCTTCTGACCTCTCCTCTGCTGTACTGGAAAGTTGACAGTTACATGGACTTAACAGGGCTGTTGGGAGGGCTCACTAGAAAGACAGAGAGGCACCAATGTGGTGACTCATATCAAAGTGGAGCAGAGGCTTCTGGGCCAGCATAGGCAGTTTGCTGCTGGCCTGGCGGGCCACGGTGCAGACACAGCGAGGGCTGGCTCCTGGCACTGCCTGGGCGAGTCTAGAAAGGCAGCTCCTCTTCACAAACTCAGGAACAGTGGAGTAGTGTCAGCTCTGGGTGAATAATGTTCCCCAAAGCTCCACCTACAGGGCTTTGCAGTAATTCTGATGCCTGGGCCACCCCAGTCCAGTTAAATCCAAACCTCTGGGGGTGGTGCCCAGGCATCGGTATTTTAAAATCCCTCCCACCGATGCTAATGTGCAGCCAGGTTGAGAATAACGGCCCAACTCTGGCTTTGCATGTTGCCTTCAACGTTATCTGTTTTCTCCCTGCAGGCTGCCGATCACGTTAGAAATCTGATTAAGGCACTAGAAATGAGAGAGCCCCAAAATCCAAGCCTCCATCTTAAAAAAATTCTTGTGATTAGCAGACTGGTAAGCAGATTCTTTCCCAGCTTCTGAAACGATGCTTCTCTCTGCATTCCTCACGGGAGACCCTGCTCCCCCAGGAAGCCCCCTGAGCACCCTGCCCCTCCCCTTCTAGCTCAAGTTTGGCTTTCAGGCTGGTGACCCACACCCTGTGGCCCCCACCTGCCTCTGGCTGATAACTGTGACATGTGGGCTCTGTGTCCTTGCCCTAGGTGCCCCTCAGAGATGCTATGAAGATCAGGGAGTTGGGGTCTGAAAGTGCTTTTGGAGTGGGCGGTGCTGTATTTGGGGACAGCAGAGCCATGCCCAGCTGTGGCCTAGGGTGCCAGGCTACCCAGTTCCTTTTGCTTTTTTTTATAGAAGTAACCTGGGCAGGCTTGCCTGCCTAGGTCTCTTTGACATCAAGGAAGGTCACAATAGACTAGGTTGCTAAAGAATCTGTCTGTGTCAGACCGACCCTTCAGCCCCAAAGCAAGATTTACTAGAAGGAATCGCCATAAGAATGAGGGCAGCTCTGGGACCTCAGGGACCAGAACTGCGGAGTTGCATGCCACCAAGACACCATCTCTCCCTCCTTGTGTGTCTCTCGGCCTTGTTGTCCACACATGGCAGGGATCGCGGCTGATGGCAGCCCTCAGGGCCACTTCTCGTCAGGGGACACAACTTCTCTCACTTTGAAAAACCTCTTGCTTCAAATTTTGAAAACCTCTCGGTGACTCCTTGGACCAGTTACTGTGGCCAGACAGGGGATAGGCCCCTCAAAGGACCCTGTGGCTGGAGGCAGAATCCCCAGAGGTGGCCAGTGGGAAGTTCTTTGGGAGTTAGACAGCTCCACAGACCCAGCTGCCTAGGCACAGGGTGCCTCCTGGGCTCTCCTGAGCCTACCACGCCCAAATTGCCCCCCATTCCTGACAAGGCCTCGCTCAGACAGGTTGGACTGGCTGTTCTCCCCCCATTCCCATACGCCTGTTTCTTGCAGTGTGGCAGGCACCAGGCAGTTCTGCAGCAAGTGTGCAACTTCATCGAGCGCATCTTCATGGCCACACCGTCCTACACCTGTGCAGCCACGGAACTGGGCTATCTCTATGTCCTGCGGAACCAAGTAAAGGAGGCCTCCCTGTGGTACTCGGAGGGCGTGAAACTGAACCAGAACCAGAACAGAACGGCTGCTATGACAGGTCTATGCAGGCTGGGCAGGTAGGGGTGGGAGGCTGGGTGTTGGTAGCCAAGCGGGGTGGCTTTCATGGGTCCAGAAGAGAGGCAATGGGAAGCACTCTCTCTGAAAGGTGTGTGAGTTTGGAGGTACAGTGTATGATGGGGTGCCTTTTTGGAAATCCACAAGAATAGATGTAAGAGGCACAGGAATGCTCAGAGGTGTGATCAAAGCCACTCTGGCCCAGGCACAGAGGCTCACACCTATAATCCTAGCACTTTGGGAGGCTGGGGTGGGAGGATCACTCGAGACCAGGAGTTCGAGACCAGCCTAAGCAACACAGCGAACCTCCATCTCTACAAAAAATAGAAGAATTAGCTGGGCATGGTGGTGCTGAGGCAGGAGGATCACTTGAGCCCAGGAGTTTGAAGTTGCAGTGAGCTATGATGATGCCACCGCACTCTAGCCTGGGCAACAGAGCGAGACCCTGTTTTGTGTTTCAAAAAAAAAAAAGTACTATGATCTCTGTCGGACCCCTGATGTCTACTTTCTGATTTTGCTGGAAGACTCACAGCCTCAACCTTATACTCCTCGGAGGCCCTGCCTCTTCCCAGTCCCCACAGGTGAATGTTGGAAATGTTCCCCAACTCCACACACACACAGCCTCTGGACTCCCCTCTGTCGACCTTCCTTCTGCAGGTCCCTGAGTGGAAAGCCACCAGAAAGAGTAATGTTGAGAGTTTTAGTTCCCCTATCTGTCCAGATGCTCTTTTTTTTTTTTTATCCTTTCTATAAATGTCAAATGAATTTTCTAGAGCTCCATTTTCATCGTACAATTTTTTTTTTTTTAAAGCTCCACAGTCTCTGGTGAATACCGAAGTGACAGTGTTTAGTTTGGGTTGAGGAAGTTGTGTGGTCCAGTGCTCAGGGTAGGCTGGTTCTTGTCCTGGCTCTGAGGAGCTGTGTGTTTGGGGGCAAGTCACTTCTCTTTTCTAAACTCCAGGCTCCTCATCGGTACAGCGCAGCTGTCAGAGTGGTTGACCTTGACTGGTTCAGCCTTCAGCATGTCAGGCTGACCTCCTCCAATCCATGCCTCTGCTCCACCACACCGAAATCCCATGAAAATGATGAAAGACATTTTTAAAAGGCAGTGAGTCCATTGCAGCCCTAGAAACAGGGAAAAGTGCCTTCAGTATGACCAGAAACTTTGAAGAATTTCACATTTCTAGGAGATATAAGGCAAATGGTATCAAATACATGGAAATTCCAAGCAGCTAGAAACCCATAAGCCAATGTAGGCAGAGATGGGTCAGTGAAAGAAATGAGTAGACCAGCTTTTCCCAAAGAGCTACAGAAAAAACAAAAACCGAAAACCCAAGCTCAGGGTCACCAGAGGCTAAGTGAAGAAGCGTGCGTGCCATGGAGCAATGAGCGAGATAGAGGAGGATTATTGGAACCTTGCCCAGACCAGAGACTAGAATCCAGGAGGCTGTTATTGGGCACTGGGGCAGGAGGGAGAGGAGCAGAGTCCCAGATGACTTCCCATCGTCACCAGGGACTTCAAGGACAAAAAGACCGGGCTGCTTGGCACATGCTTCCACCAGGCTGAGTCCTGCCCCACTTCCTCCAAGGGAGGGCCCCAGCGGTCAGCCAGAGGGAAGCCCAGTGGTCAGAATGCCTGTCCTGCCCATGTACGTCCCAGAGTCACCATATTATCTGGTCTGTCTGGGAAAATCAGCGACCTCAACAATGTGGGACATCTGCCCGGCTGTTAATACTCATCAGTCTAGTCCTTTGTCTATAAATCTGCTAGCAGTGTGAAAGGGCAGCCGGGTTGAACATGCAAAGCAGTGGCCCTCTGAGGAGGGAAGTTAAGGTCGGATACAGAAGAGAGTTTTCCCCCTGAAACACCTTCAGTGTTTGGAGAGGCTGTTATGTCAATGAGTGAATAATATGCTATCATGAAAAAGGTACAGAGAACAAAGACGAGTTGGTGAAAATTTAAAACGGTACTGTAAGGTAAAAATTCCATAAGATAGGTCAAACAGTGGGGTGGATAGAATTGAAAACCAAGCTGGTGATTAGGAAGACAGTCAGGAATAAATGCACCAAAATAGCCAAGAAATATCTGTAAAAGAATAGTAAGGGCAGAGATTTTATTTTCCTCCCAACATCAAAACGTCATAAAACCACAGTGATTAAGTCAGCTTAAGGCCAGTGCTGGCTGCAGTAAACAAATAGGCCTTAGTGCAAATTGATAGGCTGTTCAATAACTACTCGTTAGGCACCTGGTTATCCATTATGAAAAACATAAAAGTAAGTCCCCATCTCCACTATACTCAAAAATAAATTCCAAGTGACTTAAGTATTTAAACATAAAAGTTAAATAGGACTTGGGTTTCTCTGGGGATTCTAAGCCTAACTGCAAACTCAGAACCTGAAAATATTTTACCTATTTGACTGCATAAAGATTTAAAATTATTAGATGGCAAAAGATACTATAGGCCGGGTGCAGTGGCTCACGCCTGTAATCCTAGCACTCTGGGAGGCCGAGGCGGGCGGATTGCTCGAAGTCAGGAGTTCAAAAACCAGCCTGAGCAAGAGCAAGACCCCATCTCTACTATAAATAGAAAGAAATTAATTGGCCAACTATTATATATAGAAAAAAAAATTAGCCAGGCATGGTGGTACATGCCTGTAGTACCAGCTACTTGGGAGGCTGAGGCAGCAGGATTGCTTGAGCCCAGGAGTTTGAGGTTGCTGTGAGCGAGGCTGACACCATGGCACTCACTCCAGCCTAGGCAACAAAGCGAGACTTTGTCCTCCCCCCGCCCCCAAAAAATGATGTCTTTCCATTTTTTTATTTTTATTTTTTTGTTTATTTTTTAAAATTTGTTTATTTAAATTTCAGAATATTATGGGGGTACAAACACTTTGGTTACACATATTGCCTTTGCACTGCCCAAGTCAGAGCTGCAAGCGTGCCCAAACCCCAGACATCATGCACCGTACCCCCGTACCACCGTACAGTTGGTTGTAAATTTACCCATCCCCTCCTCCTGCCTCCTACCTGCCTGACACCCTGTGAATGTTACTTCCATCTGGGTATGTAAGTATTGATCCATTAGTACCAGTATAATGATGAGTACATGTGGTACTTGTTTTTCCATTCTTGTGATACTTCACTTAGAAAAATGGGCTTAGGGATGTCTTGCTATAGTGCCTTATGATTTGAATTCTTTTCCATAAATGTCTAGAAGGATGTTAGAAAAGATCCCCTGCTGTGGAACACCTTCCTTCCACCGTCTCATCCATGCTTCTCGACCTGGTGAACTGCTGGCTCTGCATCCGAGCTGGCTGCTCATCCTTGCTTTGTCCCACTTACAGGGATGATCTGGTGCCAGATCTTAGAAGGCCAACTGGAAGAGGCTGAGAACCAGCTGGAGTTCCTGAAGGAAGTGCAGCAGTCCCTTGGGAAGTCTGAGGTCAGAGCTCCCTGGAGACACAGATTGCTCTAAGACTGGGTCTCCAGCCCTCCTCCCACTGCCACATTCCCATAGAAAGCAGCCAAGATGGCCTGGACCTCCACTTGCCCTCACCTACCAACGCTGTCCAAGCTGGCATTGGCTCTGAGACCCAGGCCTCTTTTCTACAGGTGCTGATCTTCCTCCAAGCCCTTCTGGCATCCAGGAAGCACAAGGGGGAGCATGCTGCCACGGCGCTCCTGAAAGAGACAGTAGAGCTTCACTTCTCCAGCATGCAGGGCCTCCCCCTGGGCTCTGAGTACTTTGAAAAGCTGGACCCCTACTTCCTGGTCTACATTGCCAAGGAGTACTTGCTCTTCTGTCCCAAGCAGGTTAGGAGAAAGCCCATCGTCATGGCGGGGGTCTGGAGTATAGGATTGAATGGTGCCCACTCAAAGGACAGAGGCAGGGACCTCACTTGGTCAGTCGCCAGGTTGCTCTGAGTTTTGGGCGGTTGGGGAGCCCAGCACTTTTCACACTTTATTGTGCATCACAGGAATCACCTGGGAGGTTGTTCCAGTGCAGATTCTGACTATGTAGGTGGAGCCAAGGGCCCTGCGTATCTAACAAGCTCCCAAGTGATGCTGATGCTTTTAGTCCAGGGACCACACTTGGAGGAGCAGGGCACCAGCCCCTGCCTGTGCCTTTATCCTAAACAAGAACTTGGCTCCCTTTTTCCCAGAAGCCTTCTAAGAAACATGTTAGCCTTTACTTATTTGTCCTGCTTTCCCAGCCAGCCAAGATTCCTTGTGGGCAAGGATCATATTTTTACATGTCTTAATATCCCCCCCCCCAGTGCCTTGTAATGAGTCGTTCAACAAATATTTGAGTGCATTACTATGTGCCAGACACCATTCTAGGTACTGAGGACACAATAGTGAACAAAACAAAATCCCTATTTCCTGGAGCTCATGCTCTAGGACTAGATGGTGCACAGTGGATAATAAATAAGTGTGGAATAAAGTAAAATCCCTTCAAAGAGAGTGTTTTCTGAGAGCTCCGGGAGTCTCTCGTAGAGTAGGGCAAACCACACAGCCATCTCACCTCTTATTCCTACAGCCCCGGTCACCAGGCCAGATCGTGTCTCCACTTCTTAAACAAGTTACCGTGATCTTGAATCCTATAGTCAAAGTAGCACCAGCTCTGGTTGACCCCCTGTATGTGATGGCTCAGGTCAAGTATCTCTCAGGTGAGCCAATGGGTCCTGGAGGCCAGGTGGGGCCTTGCCTCTCTCACATCTGTTCATCTACTCAGTCACCTGTTAGGGCTTCTGCCCCTGGGTTTGTGTCCACAGGCTCCCTGCCTGCGATACTTTACACACACGCACACACACATGTACACGTGCCCCTCACCAAGCCTGTGCACTTTTCAGCCTCCAACCTGCCGGTAACCTTCCTGACGCCCTCACCAGCAGGAGTCTCTCCCACTTAGCCTTTTTCAGATTACTCACTTGATCTGTGCAGGTAACAGTCATTGAACTTCTTCTGGGATACTCAAAAAGAGTCAGGGGAAATTGACAAGCAGTAAGCACACCGTATTGTTTGTTAGAACGCAGTCGCGCTGTGGCAGAAGCTAAAGCAGGGAAGGGGCTGCGGGGTAGTGGGCTGCAGTTTTAAAATGTGTCAGGAAAAGTCTCGTAGAGAGGTGAGGCCTGGTACCCTTAGGCTTTCAGAACCCCTGGGGGCCCTTCTACCTCCCACCCAAGGCCCAGACCCTGGAGAGAGAAGGAAAGAGAGGAAGAACCCTCGTGGGTGCCCTGTTGTCCTCTCTGGCACAGAGCCCTCCCCTGAAGTACTCTCTCCCTGCAGCTTTCATCCCATCCTGTCTGCCTGAAAACCAGGCCCATCTCTGGTGTCCTGGGGAATCTAGAGGATCCAGAATACTATGGCCCTGTGTCTGTCCTCTGGCCACTACATTGTGTTGGTCGCACTCTGCCGAGAGCCACTGTCTTCATCCTCGGTCCTCCCTGTGTTTATCTGGGTGCTAGGTTAACCCACAGCTTCAGTGTCTCCTTGGTACAAGGCCAGGATGGGAGGGCTCCCCCCAGGGTACTGGCAGCTGCCAACAGGTTTGAGGCCAAAGCAAGGTCTCCAGCTGCTTGGGTTGCCATAGTGACCTCTCCACATTTCCACAACACACAGGGAAAGAGCTGGGAGCTTGGGATCCAGAAGCAGGTGCTCCCACCCACCAGGTTATGGACCCCAAGAAGAGCTGTTGAGGGACCTGACAGCAGAGGGAGGAGGGCTCCCCTACCAACTCGCCACACACACCCCAGCCTGCCACTACCACCCTGTAAATGCCAGCCTGGCTACAAGGAGGCCCCTCAGCCCACCAGTGCCAGGGGCTTCCGAGCTGAGATTCAGGAGCCCAATGGGCCTGCATTTAAATGCCGACTTGGAACCTTCCAAGCTGAGTGGCTTACATCACTGGAGCTCTAGGTCCTATATTTATTTTTTATTTTATTTTTTATTTATTTATTGAGACAGAGTCTCGCTTTGTTGCCCAGGCTAGAGTGAGTGCCGTGGCGTCAGCCTAGCTCACAGCAACCTCAAACCCCTGGGCTCAAGCAATCCTGCTGCCTCAGCCTCCCAAGTGGCTGGGACTACAGGCATGCGCCACCATGCCCGGCTAATTTTTTCTATATATATAAGTTGGCCAATTATTTTCTTTCTATTTATAGTAGAGATGGGGTCTCGCTCTTGCTCAGGCTGATTTTGAACTCCTGACCTTGAGCAATCCGCCCACCTTGGCCTCCCAGAGTGCTAGGATTACAGGCGTGAGCCACCGCGCCCAGCCTTAGGTCCTATATTTAAAAGACAGTAATAATATCAGCCTTACAGTGCTGGGCAGATATTAAAGCAGACTTTCTAAAGTGCTTTGTGAGTGTTAAATGTAGAGTAGATGCTTCATAAATTGTGGCTGCTATCGTTGCTGTTATTATTAGGTTTTGTTCTGCTCTTAGGTGTGGGAATTGAGACTCACGTGTTCCCTTGAGCCTCCGGATGGAGCAGTGAAGTGACTTAGCTGTCTCCCTGCTGGTTATGAGACAAGGAGGTTACACTGAGGTTTGAGTTTCATGACTTTTGTCTGGGTCAAGGCAAAAACTGTGCGGTTTTAACCTCAGAAAGGGACCTCTGAGTGCTGCAGAACAGAACTGGCTAAAATACCCACCTGGGTAACAGGACATGTAAACTTCATTCTGCCTTTACACATTGAGTCTCAGGAGTCCCCGAGGATCCCTGCATGTAGAGGTGTGTGTGTTATTTCTAGGAGAGCCAGAGAATGCCCAGAGCACCCTGCAGCGTTGCCTGGAGCTGGACCCCACCTCCGCGGACGCCCACCTCCTCATGGCCCAGATCTACCTGGCCCAGGGCAACTTTGCCATGTGCTCCCACAGCTTGGAGCTGGGTGTCAGCCACAATTTCCAGGTGGGGATCCTCTGCGCCCTGTCACACACTCAGCATCCCAAAGTCCAGCTAGCTGAAGCCCCCATTTGCCTTGAGAGAGTAGCCCCAGGGGCTACCTGTGTCCCTCAGACTCCTATCCTGGCCCAAAGGCAGGGGCAGGCTCAGTGAGCTCCCGGGGGCATTCTTGGGCCTGGCTGCCGTGAGCAGCAGCAGCAGCAACAGCAGCAGCAACAGCAGCAGCGGTGAACTGGAGCCCCACACAGTCTGATGTGTCCTCCTAGGTTCGAGACCACCCCCTCTACCACTTCATCAAGGCCAGGGCCCTTAACAAGTCTGGTGACTATCCAGAGGCAATAAAGACACTGAAAATGATCGTGAAATTGCCAACTCTGAAGACGGAAGAAAGCAAGAAGTTCCGCAGGCCCTCTGTGCAGCCCAGCGAGCGGGTGTCCATCTTACTGGAACTGGTCGATGCCCTCCGGCTGAATGGGGAGCTGGTAAGAAATGCTGTGCTCTCTTCCCTGGGGACTGGGGCACGTTGGAGGGCCAGGGCAGGCAAGGGAGCCAGGCTCTTTGATTGCCTAATGTATACTTGCGCAGCAAATGGAGGGTCTGTTTGGGTCCCATGTTTTAGCACGAGGCCACCAAGGTCATGCAGGATGCCATCAACGAGTTCAGCGGCACACCAGAGGAGGTCCGCATCACCATCGCCAACGTGGACCTGGCCCTGAGCAAGGGCAACGTAGACATGGCTCTGAGTGTGCTGAGGGGCATCACACCCAAGCAGCCCTGCTACGTGGAAGCCATGGAGAAGATGGCCAACATCTACCTGCAGACCCGCAAAGACATCCGCCTCTACATCGGATGCTACCGGTAAGCCCCACAGGCAGCACAAGGGCAGCTGCTTCTCCGATGGCATCTTAGTGAATGTTTCCTTCAGCTCGTAGTTCTTCAACCTGGGTCTCCAGACCGTATCCTTGGGGTGTGTTTGATAAACGTATGGAATTCCCCATGGGTTAGAATTTGAGCATGGAAGGTCAGTAAGCCCTGCTGACGGATGAGTTCTGAGGGCACAGAACGGAATGGTCCCCAAGCACTGCTTGTCTCCCCCACTCCCCTGCACCCCTTGCGTGGCTCACATTCTGGTGGGAGATTGTGGGCCTAGCCCCAGGAGCAGATGCCAAAGGAACCATGGAAACACACTTCTGCCCTGGCACCTAGCTCTGCCTGTCCTTGGATAATGTCCAGTGACTCGGATGTGGCCAAGGTAGGGTGGCTGAGGATGGAGAGCAGGCATCTGAAGCCCCAAGCTGCTGTCTCTGTATGATTTGGCATTGGGGCCTTGAGCGTGTCTTCCTACTCCTTTCTTCAGGCAGAACACCATCTAGGCAATTCCAGGTGGGGGTCGGGGTGCTGGGGGAGAAGGGGAGGCCATCCAGCAGAGGGATGGCACACGGTAGGGAGGTACAGTCAACTTGGGGTTTTAGAAAGAGCAGTGTGGCTGCCATAGGGAAGGGGTCTGGAAGGCTGGGGGTGGACCAAGAGGAACAGGCAGAGGCCCTGGCCATGGCCAGATGGTAGATGAGGACAGCCTATCTAAGGTAGCTAGCACAGTGGGCTTTCTATAAGCATTGGTTGATGAATGAATGAATGTCAGTCAGGATCAGTGGGAAAGAAGAGAAGGAGATGGCTTCAGGAATGTAGGGGGGTGCGCAGGCCTGAGCTAAGCTTTTGGTTACTCTTGCAGTGAGCTTTGTGAACAACTGCCTGGCCCCCACACTAGCCTCCTACTGGGCGATGCTTTCATGAACATTCAGGAGGTGAGTGAGGGGGCTCCTGGCCTTGCCAAATGGCACCCCCATTCTCACTTGTCTGGTGGGAGAGAAGAGAAAGACTCCTGGACACTTTCCCCTCCAGCCCGAGAAGGCCCTGGAGGTCTATGACGAGGCCTATAGGAAGAATCCGCACGACGCCTTTCTGGTCAGCAGGATCGGGCAAGCTTATGTGAAGACCCACCAGTACAGCAAGGTCAGGCTGGGCTGGGGTGGGAAGGGGTGGGAGGTCCAGCCCAGCAGGGACAGTGGAGGAGAATGCACGAGTGGGCGGGCATCTGGGTGAGAGGAGAGTAGTTGAGTTTCCACCCCAGCTCCCTGCTCAGTGGGGTGCCAAAGGGGGAACTCAGCAGCTCCCCACCACTGCCCATCCCTGCTTTAGCTGGGGCTTGAGCCCTGGGAGGGCCTTTTCGCCAGGCGTCTATGTTCTGGAGGTGGCCACTGTGTGGTGGCCACTGAGCGGAATGTGGTGTCAGGCACTTCAGTGCAGAACCAGACCAGAGGCCAATGTTTCTTGTTTGCACTAAGGCAATTAATTATTATGAGGCTGCCCAGAAGATTAGCGGACAGGACTTTCTGTGCTGTGACCTGGCTGAACTGCTCCTCAAATTAAAGAAGTTCAACAAGGCAGAAAAAGTTCTGAAACAGGCACTGGAACACGAATTTGGTAAGGCAGCATTTTAACTGGCTTCTCGCATTTGGAGCAGGCATACTGCCCACCCACCACTGTCCCCCTTAGCCGGAGTCCTGAACCCAGCCCTCCCCACCAACCCAGCTTCCCAGGGGGCCACAGAACACTAATTTGAGTTTCCATTTGCAGCCAAAGACATCCCATCCATGATGAATGATGTTAAGTGCTTGCTTTTGCTGGCAAAAGTTTACGAGAGCCAGAAAAAAGAAGATGTTATAGAGACTTTGAACAAGGTAATTGACAAGTAGACTCAAACTCTTCCTCTTCCTTTTGCTGATGGGGGCTGAAGGAGGAAGAAGGGTAGGGCTCCAGGCCTGGAGGGGCCCCAGACCTCTACCTTAAAAGAGGACCTAGGTTACACCTCTGACCTCCCCCTGTCCTTGCTCATTCAGTGATGGCGCACTAAAATGCTCTGAGCTGGGCTACACCGGCCTGGGGAAGGCAAGAAGTAATACAATGCCTTTGCCCTAAAGATGATGACAATGACAGTAGCTCCCATGCATCGAATGCTCTGTGCTAGGTTCTATAATAGGTTTTTTGCTTTCTTATTTAATTCTCACAGTAGCCCTTTGAGATATGCACTGTGACATTCCCACCTAGGTTAAGGCTTTAGGAGGTTAAGAAATGTGCCCAGGCTGGTCTGAGTACAGTGGTGCTTACAACTAATTGATCACAACCAGTTACAGATTCCTTTGTTCCTTCTCTACTCCCACTGCTTCACTTGACCAAATTGTAAAAAATTAAAAAGAAAAAACGAAATGTGCCCAAAGTCAAATACAGTTGTATTACTCCGTTTTCTCTTGGCTTATAACAGAATATCCGAAACTAGGTAATTTATAAAGAAAAGGAACTTTACTTCTTATGGTCATGGAGGCTAGGAAGGCCAAGGTTTAGGGGGCCCATCTGGTGAGTGTTGGTGGGCACTTTCTGAAGAGCCCTAAGGTAGCACCCGAGGTGGTACAGGCATCACATGGTGAGGGGGCTGAGCATGCTAACATGTTACCTAATTCTCTCTTCTTCTTCTCCCTATAAAGCTACCAGTTCCACTCTCATGATAACACTTTAATCCATTAACCCAAGAGTAGATTCAGCTATGATAGACTAATGAGTGCTGTGCTCTCATGATTCAAATCACCTCTTAAAGGCCCCACCTTTCAATATTGCCACACTGGAGACTGAGTTTCCAACACATGAAATTTGGGGGACAGATCCAAACCATAGCAACAGTCATGCATTGCTTAATGGCAGGGATATAATTTCATCCTTGTGTGAACATCATAGTGTCCTCATACAAACCTAGATGGTCTGGCCTACGACACACCTAAGCTATATGGTATAGTCTACTATACCACACTAGTCCTAGGCTACAAACCCATACAGCATGTTACTGTACTAAATGCTGTAGGCAATTCTTTTTTATTTTTTTATTTTATTTTATTTTTTTAGAGACAGAGGTCTTGCTCTTGCTCAGGCTGGTCTCAAACTCCTGAGCTCAAACAATCCGCCCTCCTCGGCCTCCTAGACTGCTAGGATTAACAGGCGTGAGCCACCATGCCTGGCCTGACTGTAGGCAGTTCTAACACAATGGCAAGTATTTGTGTATCTAAACATTTCTGAATATAGAAAAGATATAGTAAAAATACAGTATTATAATCCCATGGGAGCACCATTGTATATGCAGTCCGTGGTTGACCGAAAAGTCGTGGTGGCGCATGGCAGTTCTAGCAAGCAGTGGAGCTGAGATCCGAACCGGGTCTGGCTTCTCCCAACCCATACTCCTTCCACACTGGTCTGATCCGAGAGCCCCTGGCCATTCCTGTCACGCCTTTCTCACTTTTTCTCCCAGGGGTGTGGCCTCTCACTTGTTCCTGGGTTACACTCTGTGGTTATGGAGGAAGACTGCTTGAGATGCTTTATTCCTTTGTTTACCAGTGGATTTCCATTCCTCTGTTTGTCCCTTGGGAACCAAGTGCTGATTCGTGCCCACTTCCTACAACTTAACCCTGGCATCATCGTTTCCTCTTGCCCCCATGCTCTCTGGTTGCTCACCTGATCGTTTTGCCTTGGGAATATTTGTGGGCACTTCCACAAATTCCCAACAAGGCAATATATTCAGAACAAAACACAACCTGCGTTGGGCACCTACTGTGTGCTCCTTAGAAAAGCCAAAACAAATTACACATAGTGCCTCAAGGTGTGATGGAAGCAGGTAAACAGGTAAGTACAATGTTTTGTCTGTATGCCTCTGCTTCTGCTCCTGCCCCCAGAGGCAGTGCCGGCATTCCTACTGTGTACTCAGCCAGTGGCTTTGCCTGTCCAGAGTGACTCAGATTTGCTCAAGGGCACTTAAGATGCCCTTTCTAATACTACTGGCTTTCAAATAAGAGTTTGGGACTTTCTGTGAACTGACACGTAAGGCTCTGGGGTTCTGATCCTGGTTTTATTGGTTTCCCAAGGCCTTGGACCTCCAGTCTCGGATACTGAAGCGGGTTCCACTAGAGCAACCAGAAATGATCCCGTCCCAGAAGCAATTGGCTGCCTGTATCTGCACCCAGTTTGGAGAGCACTACCTGGCAGAGAAGGAGTATGCCAAGGCAGTGAAGGCTTATAAGGATGCTCTCTCCTACTCGCCCATTGACAACAAGGTGGGTGGCCCTCAAAGCAAGACACTGCTCCCTCTCCTGGGGCACAATGCCTTGCTAAGCTCCCTGAGCAGACTCAGGGTCAAGTTCCTTCTTCATCCCTCCCTAAGGAGCCGCAGATATGATAGGCATGGGAGGCCAGCCAGCAGTGGCCCCTGAGGCGAGGCATGTGCCCCTGCTGACCCTGGGCCCTCACTTGCTGCGGCCCTTGGAGCAAAGGCTCACTTTGGACAGCCATTTGTAGGGGGCAGAGTGGAGAAGACATTGCTGAAAGTCATGTTAGTCTGACCTTTTCAGGTCTCCCATGGAGGTGGGGAGATGATGAGGGTTGTGGCTACCAGGGCTCTTTGGGCATGAAACCAAAGCTGAGTTTCCAAGGGGGCTAGAGCTGTGAGGGAGGTGTGGCTCCAGATGAGGGAACGGTGATATTCACACTAAGAGAGTAGATGGAAGCCCAGGTGTGATGGCTCACGCCTATAATCCTAGCACTCTGGGAGGCCTAGGCGGGCGGATTGCTCGAGGGTCAGGAGTTCGAAACCAGCCTGAGCAACAGCGTCTCTACTATAAATTTAAAAAGAAATTAATTGGCCAACTAGTATATATAGAAAAAAATTAGCTGGGCCTGGTGGCGCATGCCTGTAGTCCCAGCTACTCGGGAGGCTGAGGCAGAAGGATTGCTTGAGCCCAGGAGTTTGAGGTTGCTGTGAGCTAGGCTGACGCCACGGCACTCACTCTAGCCTGGGCAGCAAAGTGAGACTCTGTCTCAAAAAAAAAAAAAAAAAAAAAAAAGAGAGTAGATGGAAAGCTTAGTGGCAGATCCATTCATGCAGCTAATATTCACTCATTTAACAGATACCTAATATGTGCCAGGTACTGTGCTGGGCCCTGGAGACAGTGGGGCAAGATGTGGTCCCTGCCCAGAGGGTACAGATGAGAGCATGGGCAGCTGTGATGCTGTATGATACAGGCCTGCGTGTGGGTACAGGGCACCATGGGAACTCGGAGGAAGGGTACCTTCCCCAGAGTCTGGGGCACAGAGGGCTCCCAGAGGAGAGAGGCCAGAGCTGAAGCTGAAGGCTGAGACTGGGCAGCCAGGCTCAACTTTCAGGAGTCAGTTGGTATGACATGTGGTTTGACTGGAGAACTGGGTGGGAAAAGGTAAGGGCCAGACACATGATCCCAGGGAATTTGAGACATATTTTGAAGGCAGAGCTAATGGGAGTGGGTATGAGGGAAAGAATTGTGGAGGACAATCCCCGGGTTTTCCCACAGTGTTCTGTGCTTAGTTTATTACGTCTGGCCTTGTCCCAGGTGGTGTTGGAGCTGGCGCAGCTCTACCTGCTCCAGGGGCACCTGGACCTGTGCGAGCAACACTGTGCCATCCTCCTGCAGACTGAGAAGAACCACGAGACCGCCTCTGTGGTAGGAGGCCCCAGGACCCCCTTCGCCCCCTCCCCAGGGTCCCTGTGACCAGATGCAGGCTGCTCCCTAGCCCATACCCTCAGATGGGCTGTCTGACACCTGCTCACTCTCACTCTTTGCTGCACCTGCTCACTCTTCAGCCAGGAGGGGTGGGCTGGCTGGCGGGGGCCACCATCATCCTCCTGGGCCAGCCTAAGGGGAGAGGTGAGGCTGATTCATTCCAGGGGAAACTGCATCCACTGTAAGTGAAGGCAAGGGTGGGACAGGTTCCTGGAGCTTCAGGAAGTATGTGGAATAACCCTCCCCATCCTCCCTCTCTCCTCCCTATCACCCAAACGTCCTCCAGAGCTGCCCCAGGAGCAGAGGCTAAGCCCCTACAGAGCAGAGGAGGGAGTCCCCATCTCTCCTTCTATTGTCTGGAATTGGCAGTGCTCAGACCTGGGTGGAAGGCCTGGCTCTGTAGGCCATCAAAAGGCCCCACTGGCCTCTACCTCTAGCCTTACCCTTCCATCCTCAACCCAGCTCCTCTTGAACTACTGCTCAGGCAGTTTCTACTTTCTGGTATCTTTTCCCAGGGCCTAGGAAGGCGTTTTAGAAGTTCTTTTCTACCTTCCTTCCTTATACCACCACCCCCTACCTCCCCACTCACACCCTGTCTCCCCCCCACGCCCATGCAAGCTGCTGTCAGGAATTCCAGAGCCTTATGTGTTTTCTGATAGATGATGGCCGACCTGCTGTTTAGAAAACAGAATTATGAAGCAGCCATCAATCTCTACCGCCAAGTCCTGGAGAAAGCACCAGGTAATTCTGCCGATTGAGACTGCATACATCAGTTCCCACTGAGCAAGGGCTGCTCTCCCGGAGAAGGGTGGGCCCTCTGCCCTCCTTCCTGACTGGGCAGAGGAAGCCCCTTCCTCTCTGATTGTTCCCAGAGAGGCAGGAAACTGATAAAGACCCAATGGAACGTGCCGGCCCTTCCCGAGTCCAAGGGGCCAGTTCCTGGTCTCAGGCACTTGGCACTGGACCCAGGACAGCCTGTCTGTCCCCAAGTCACAGCCCAACACGGTCCCCTTCTGTGGTCACAGCCACCTGGAGGGGACTAGAAATTCTCCCTTGATGTGTAGCTATTCATTGCAGCATAAAACTTCCCCTTCAGAGTCTGCCCATGGGCTCAGCAGGTTGCAGTGGTTAGGAGTCTACATCCTGGGGCCAGGTTGCCTGGGTCCTGGTCTACCACTTACTAGCTGGGTAACCTTAGGCAAATTACTTAACCTCTCTGTGTCTCACTGTCCCACCTGTAAAACAGGGATGATAGTAGTTAATATATAGGTAAAGCACTTAGTGCCAGGTACAATATGAGTACTATGTAAGTATTAGTTGCTATTATTGCTCTCTTTAAGCATTATTCTTCACTCAGCACCGGAGACCAAAGGAGACACTGGAGCTGTTGGAATGTCTCCACTCAGCCCAGATGGGCAATGTCTCCTGGCTCCTCCTAAAGACCTAGCCCCCACTGCTTCTCTCTCTGCCAGGCCACTGCACCCCTGCTTGACACAGCTATTGGCTATCCCAGCCTGGAGATTTCTGCTGTCTTATTTTAGATAATTTTTCGGTATTGAGGAAATTAATCGATCTGCTACGAAGAAGTGGCAAACTTGAAGACGCTCCTGCCTTCTTTGAATTGGCCGAGAAGGTGTCCAGCCGGGTGCCTTTGGAGCCCGGGTTCAACTACTGCCGAGGCATCTACCGCTGGTGAGTTGGGTGGGTTGCAGGGCAGCTATGTGCAGGAGGCTCAGCCTCCAGGACAGGGAACCAGGAGACCAGAGATCCAGCCACTGCTTTGCGCAGATTCACAGAGTGGCTGCTGTGTATCCCTGCACTCTCCGAGCCTCAGTGTCCCTAACTAATTCTTGGTGTTTTCTCCACTACAGGCACATAGGGCAGCCCAACGAAGCCTTGAAGTTCTTAAACAAGGCGCGTAAGGACAGCACTTGGGGCCAGAGCGCCACCTACTACATGGTGCAGATCTGTCTGAACCCAGACAACGAGATTATGGGCGGAGAGGCTTTTGAGACCTTGGTGGCTGAGAGCAAGTAAGGACCAGTGGGGTCAGGGGTGGAACCCTGGGTAAGTCAGGGAGAGCCTGCGGCCTCTGGGTGGAGACCAGGTGAGGGCCGTGTGGCCAGGCTGCCTGCCAATGTCTTGTGCCTGCAGCTCCACCGACAGGAAGGAGACGGAGCAGCATGGCGTGCGCACAGCCGAGAAGCTGCTGCGTGAGTTCTACCCGCACTCGGCCTTAGGCCACACGCAGCTGCGGCTGCTGCAGGGCCTGTGCCTGCTGGCCACCAGGGAGAAGGCTAACGTGGAGGCGGCGCTGGGCAACTTCATCGAGATGGCGCAGGCCGAGGTGAGCCGGGCGGGGACAGGCGGGAGGCAAGGCAGAGGCCGACCCGCTGCCAAGGCGGCCAACACCTGCTTCCCACCCTCTGTGCAGAAGGACAGTGTCCCCGCCCTGCTGGCCTTGGCGCAGGCCTATGTGCTCCTGAAGCAGATCCCCAAGGCACGCACGCAGCTGAAGCGCCTGGCCAAGGCCCCGTGGATGCTGGCCGAGGCTGAGGACCTGGAGAAGAGCTGGCTCCTGCTGGCCGACATCTACTGCCAGGGCGGCAAGTTCGACCTCGCCTCGGAGCTGCTGCGGCGCTGCGTGCAGTACAACAAGGCGAGGGAGCGCAGTGACGGGGCGACCGGGCAGGGGAGGAGCGGGGGCGGGGATGGGGACGGGGATTGGGGGTATGGGAGGGTGGTTCCAGTGCTCCAGAAAGGGCGCGCAGGCTTTGGGGACGGAGACAGGAAACAGGGACTAGACGGGAAGAAGTGGAACCAGAAGGGCACATGGGCGATAGACGAGGACAGGAACTGCGAGCTCAGGCGTTCAGGGGTCGGGCTATGCCCAGAGGAGGGAACACAATGGCCGGGGGAGATGGGCCAGGTTCGCGGGGTCTGGCCTGGAAGGGCATTTGCAGGTGAAAGCGTGCCTCGAAGCGCGCGACAGAAGGGCTGCGTAGAAAGGGGTTATGCCCCCATTGGGGTAGCCGGGCTGAGGGCACACAGCTCGTCCCTTGCAAGGGCGGGGGTGCCCTTGGGGCTTTGTGGTTTGGTTTAATGCAGCTCACCGCCGTCCCTTGCCCCCTCCTGGTCCCGGTACCACCTCGGCCCCTGGACCGGCTGTGGCTAGCGCTCCACAGAGGCGCTGACCGCCTTTCCCTGCAGTCCTGCTGCAAGGCCTACGAGTACATGGGCTTCATCATGGAGAAGGAGCAGTCCTACAAGGACGCAGCCAGCAATTACGAGCTGGCCTGGAAGTACAGTCATCAGGCCAACCCTGCCATTGGTAAGGCAGCCAGCAAAGGTGCACATGGGTGGGCTGTGGGAGGGAGGTGGGCAGGAGGACCCCTCACCTGACCCCAGAACTCCAGGCCTGTACCCTGGCTGTTGTGGGAAGCAGAGGGGTTCTCAGATTATCAGGGTGCGACCATTTGTGTTTTCCATGTCCCTGGACAGGTTTCAAACTCGCTTTCAACTACTTGAAGGACAAGAAATTTGTGGAGGCCATCGAAGTCTGCCACAGCGTAAGCCACCAACATTGGCAGGGAAAGGGCCTGGCACAGTGGCGGAGACGCCTGTCTGATGCTGCACATCCATTCTGTCTCTGTTCCAGGTCCTCTCAGAACACCCCAACTATCCCAAGATAAGAGAGGAAATTTTGGAAAAGGCCCAGGGGTCCCTGAGGCCCTAGCTGTGGTTAGAGGGGCCCAAGCCAGCCGAAGCCATCAATCTACTGAAGTTGTATGGAGGAGCGAGAAGAGGGTGGGTAGAGAAGGGACTCAGAAAATGACATATTCTTCCCTGTTACTGTTTTTGGTTTATTTTAATTCATGTCTCATCTGGCCTAAAGGACATCCCAAAGCTTTATGTTTTTAAGGCACAGGAAGTAATTTTGCTCTGGAAAGAAAGATATCAACTGGCTTAACGTCTGCTGGGCTCATTGGATACTTTCTAATAGACCTCACTTTTAACCCAGGCTCTGTGAGGGGGCATCGGGGACAAAGATGGAGCTCCCAGTAGAATGGTGGTTAGAAAAATACCCTACAGCTATTTTTAAATTGTTGCCTTCCCTCTCTTGCCTGGTTCCCAGCATCCTAGAGCTAAAGAAGCAACTGTTCCCCCCTGCCATGCTACCCACCGAGTCTGCCTGGCAGTGGGCCCAGGCAGGAGGACCAGCTGCAGAAGGCCCTCACAGCAGAGGCCCTGTGTAAGAGGGACTACGGGTGGCAAGGGCCATTGTCCTTCACTGTCCATACATCTGTCTCCCCTTATCCACTCCCCAAGTCTTCAGCTGGCTTCTGCTGGTCTTTAACAGTTTGGGACAAGCCTGTTCACCCTTGCCTGGCACAGGAAAATACATACCCAGAAAAAGTAGTCTCCACTTAGCTTTTGTAAAGGACATTACCAACTAATTCATCCTCCAGAAACCCTTTTAATGCCTAAGGTGGCAAATGCAGTGGTCCCTATTTAGATGAATAATGTTAATTGCAACTAGCAAGAGGGTGACAGAGGTCACCTTTGCTGTGCTCCCAATACTGCTCTTCCTGTTTTTCAGGATGGCAATAATGGGCCAGTCTGGCCTCAGGGGAAGGAACTCTGAACTGGGAGTCAGGAGGCCTTCGGATCTCCCCATGTGATCTTCTCAAATCCCTTCCCCTCTCTGGGTCTCAGTGTCCCCATCTGTGGCAGGAAATTAGATTTGTTACCCAAATCATGGTACCACTCTCTGCCAGTGATATACAGCAAACATTTAAAGTTTAATAACTATGTGTCTATACATCATATTTATGTAATAGAGAAAAACTAGCACAACAAACTCAGGAATTCATGGGTGCTTTTCCATAAGGTAGGTAGGGTGGCTCTAACTTTTAAACATACTGATACAATTGATTTAAAGGAAAAATACTTAGGTCCAGGTGCAGTAGCTCACACCTATAATCCCAGCACTTTGGGAGGATTGCTTGAGCCCAGGAGTTTGAGGCTGCAGTGAGCTATGATTGTGCCACTCCACTCTAGCTTGGGCAACAAAGCAAGACCCTGTCTCCTAAAAAAAAAAAAAAAAGAAAAGAAAAAAACAAAGAAAAATACTTAGAATGGGTAGAATGCAGGAATGGGCAGTTTTCAAGAGAAGTCCAGTGACTAAGGTTTAGGAACAGTGAACGGATAAGGATGCCTTTAGAGCAGCGTGCATCGTCCGTGATGGCTGTGGAGCCTTGTTTTTATAACATACTACTGGTCACGTGCACGGCCTCTTGGTGTGAGTTGGTGATCTGGAATGCTTTCCCCAAGTTACTCCATCTTTCCTGCTGGAAAACCCAGTCCTCTTTCCTGTGATGTGCTTTACAACCCAGTTTTGTTGGGACAGGTTTATTGAGAGGCAGATCTGTCTGTATGGAGAATGATGCTGTAAAGGGATTGTACATTAATCATGTTTTTGTTGTCGTAAAACCTAAGTTGTCTTCATTTATCTTAAAAAAAAAAGTCAAGAATTGATCCTACTCTGGGAGGCCAAGGCGGGTGGATTGTTTGAGCTCAGGAGTTGGAGACCAGCCTGAGCAAGAGTAAGACCCCGTATCTACTAAAATTAGAAAGAAATTACTTGACAGCTAAAAATATATAGAAAAAGTTAGCCAGGCATGGTGGTGCATGCCTGCAGTCCCAGCTACTTGGGAGGCTGAGGCAAGATAGCTTAAGCCCAGGAGTTTGAGGTTGCTGTGAGCTAGGTTGACACCACGGCACTCTAGCCCGGGGAACAAAGTGAGACTGTCTCAAAAAAAAAAAGAATTGATCCTGTGGCCCTAGATGGGCACAGGTGGGACTCAGTCCAGCCATGGGCTGAATTCGTGGTGTAGAAGCCTGTGGAGGCTTCCTGCTGTGGCACTGGAGCTGCTGAGGGCTGCCACCCGGCCACCCGGACTGGTCAGAGCAGACCCTCACAGCCCTTGGAGAGACCCAGGTTTTGGATCATGCATGCTGAAGCAGTCTCTCCAAAAGGGTCTCCAGGCACCAGTGAAGGAGGAAGAGACGGGACAACTGAACATATCAGGGTACTCTACCCTAAGAAGCCTAAGGCCTAGCTATCCCTAGCTAAGCTGGTTATAGGGACATACTTCCCCGCCACCGGCCAGAATCAAAGCCACGAGTCCTCTAATGGCCACTGATATGGCCATGTGACCATGTCCATGCATGTCCAGAGTCAAGAGACAGATAATAAAAGGACAGGCAAAAATGAAAGGATTAGGCCGGGCGCGGTGGTTCACGCCTGTAATCCTAGCTCTCTGGGAGGCCTAGGCGGGCGGATTGCTCAAGGTCAGGAGTTCAAAACCAGCCTGAGCAAGAGCAAGACCCCGTCTCTACTATAAATAGAAAGAAATTAATTGGCCAACTGATATATATATAAAAAATTAGCCGGGCATGGTGGCGCATGCCTGTAGTCCCAGCTACTCGGGAGGCTGAGGCAGAAGGATCGCTCGAGCCCAGGAGTTTGAGGTTGCTGTGAGCTAGGCTGACGCCACAGCACTCACTCTAGCCTGGACAACAAAGCGAGACTCTGTCTCAAAAAAAAAATGAAAGGATTAAACATAGAAAAAGAGTGGCAGAAATGTGAAAATGGAGTGGAAGTTGCAAATGCAGGACTTGCATGCTCTAGGGCCTAGAATCTAGGTACTCTTCTAAGTGCTTTGTATGTATGAGCTAAATAAGCCTACGAGGGGAAGTGTTATTATTTGGACTGTATTGAGGACACCCAGGCACAGAGGGGACAAGTAATTTGCATGTCACTTCACTAGATAGTAGAAGAGCTACCATTCCAGCCCAGAGTCTGTGCTCTCACCAGTAAGCCAAAGAGGTGACTGAGCACAGCACATACCAACAGAGACAGAGAACTAGAGCAAGAAAAGGAGACCCAAATCTTATCTCCATCAGTGGTTTCTGATGGAGAAATCATTATCATTCCTAAGGGGGAGGTCGACCTTCCTCAGGCCCCCAGACTGGGGCTCCCCAGAGCAGGGTGCGGCCTGCTCCTCTGGCCTTCAGCCCAGACAGGTCAGACAGGTCTGGCTGGTGCAGAGAGATGAGGTTCTGCAGCTTCCAGTGCCCAAGTCCCCAGGGCCAACAGCTGCTGAGCCTGTGGCCTCCACCAGGTACATCCCCTTGCCCTGTCTGCACCCAGGTGGGCAACTTCACCCTCAGGGCCAGGCCCCAGCTCAGTGTGGGTGCATGGGAGGGAGGGTACCCTCACGTCAGAAGACCTCACTGCTGTTCCTCAGCACTACCCGAGAAGAATGAGTTTTAATCCAAAGAAAAACTGCTCCATCTGCCTCTCAGCTGGCTCCTGCCTCTAAGCTGACTGGCTCACCTGGAAGGTGGCCAAATGTGCTGTGTACCCCTACTCCCACCCCCAACACAGCTTCAGTGTCCACACTGCCCTGCAGGGCCTGTCTCCCCCTCCCTCCCCACTGCCCCTGAGAGTGTACCCTTGCTCCCCATCCCACAAACGCAGACCACACTATTAAAAATAGAGCCTCTTTATTGGTACCTGTAAGCTCAGGTACAAGGTGTTCCCACAAGCACGCAGGCTGGCAAGGCCTCCTAGGCAAGGGGGCATGTCTAGAGCCTGGGTTTCTTGGCACAGACACAGGGAAAAATTAATAAATTATAGTTCTGACACTCAGGGACAATATAGAAATTATGATGCAAAATTCAGTATCAGCAAACAAAAGCCCTAAAGAGCCACCCCTCACCAACTGGCCTCAGGGCACAGGCAGGTGTGCAAGACTGGAGTGCAGTGCCCAGAAAGCCCTGAGATAAGTAGTCTGGGCCACGCTTTGTGCCCCGACCAAGGTAAACCTCTTGACCTCTCTGGGCCTTCGACTTCCCCCTTCACCCTCCTATAGAAATGGGCCTGGAATAAAGGCTGTGGCCCTCAGGGAGAAGATGGGCAGAGGCAGGAAGTAGAGGGGTCTGGTGGCACAGAAGGGAGTTTGGGTCACAGCTGGTCAGCCCAGCCCCTCCCCTTGCCCAGACGGTGTCCTTGACTGGCCCCACCTGCTCAGCTATCCAGGAGCCAGGCAGTTGACACTGTAGATCACAGGGCTCAAATCCAGACCTGGTCTCCAAAGCTCAGGCAGGGCAGGGGGAAGAACTACAAGGCAAAAGGGACTCACAAGGGTCTGTGCCCACACCACCCTCGGCACTACCCACCAGCCACAGAGGAATAGCCAGAGCCGCCTCAGTCTCCAAATAAATTATGGAAATAAATTAGTCTTCACAGTCCAGAGGATTTAGCCACCCATGGGTCTAGGGCTCAAGGTGGCAGGAGAAGCCACCTGATTTCAGCCCTGTCTCACCATCTTTGGCTAAGGAACATCATACAATGACCAAAAAGTGGTCCGCCAAGCTCCAGGGGAGCCACGTTTTCTCCTCTTCCTGGCACACGTTATGGAGGTGGCAGATCAAGGAAGGGCGTGGGGGGCTGGGCAGCTGCAAAGGGAAGCCCCCTCCCCACCCTCTTTTTAGCACAGAAAAGTTTTAAAAAATAAATAAATAAATCGAGAGTGTTGCATGAAAACCTGGAGTGTGCACATGGCACCCATGAGTGAGCCAGCCAATGGGAGACTGTTACATACAGACCTTGGGGAGCCCCCAAATTACAAAAAAGCAGCAACGGGGCTCTTGGGGCTGGGAAAAGGCATTCTAGTCCTCACACCAGCATAGGCTCCATGAGAGATGCTGGGGCAGGGTCCTCAAACTGGCTGTCGATAAAGGGAGCCAGGGCTTCAGCCGCTGACTCGGACAAGCCCATGAGGGTCTCCAGGAAGCAAGTGCTGACGTCCCCAGGCGGAGAGAGGCCAGGCAAAGGGAAGTGGGGCGACTCAAGGTTGTCCAGGCTGTCAGACACCTTCTGGGAGGTGTAGTGAGGCCCCAGACTATAATCTGGCAGAGCCTGGAGCAACTCAAAGGAATCACAGGAAGACAAGCTGAGATCCACCGAGCTGCTCTGGCCAGCATCCACATTGAGCGGCACCGAGGTGCCAGGGAGGCTGCCTTCTCTCGACCCTTCAAGGCCACCGTTTAGGAAGCAGCTGGCATCCAGGTTGGCGTTTTCATCCAGAATGCCTGACGCGAGGCTGGAGCCAGAATAGCTGTGGGTCCAGCTGGCCAGGCCACCAGGGTCACCAGTACCAAAGATGTCAGCTGGGTGGAAGCAGCTGAAGTTGTCCAGGTTCCCCACGCCCCCTTCCTCCTTCTCCTCCTCCTCCCCGCCGAGCTCAGAGTCACTGAAACTCAGGATCCGCGCCAGGCTGTCATCATCCACGCCAGGCTGGAAGCCAGGACCAGGCAGGCCTGGGTGAGCGGGGCAGTCGGGGGCCTCGCTAGAGCCCGACGCCGAGGAAGATGCTGTGGAGGAATCGGTCATGTCGCTGCTGCAGCTGTTGTCCCCCAGCTCACTGCTCACGGGGGGCTTGGCCAGTGGGAAAGTGGGGACCAGGGCCTGCTCCCCAGGGCTTGGCGGGTTGCCCTGGGTGGGGCTCTCCAGCTCCCCAAAGCTCTCGGCCCCCTGCTCCAGCTGCAGGCGGGTGAGTGTGTGGATGAAATGGGTCTGAACTCGTGCCTGATTAAACTCCACGCGGCCCTTGGGATTCTCACAGCCCTCCTTGCAGCAGCCACAGGGGAAGCCTGTGTGGTCCATCTGCAGACAAAGTAGAGGCACAAGTGAGGATTTCATGGAGCACAAAGAAGCCCCCAGGTTCAGCTCCCCA